GCGGCCACGGGGTGCGCACGTCCCATCGACCCAGGGGGCGAGGTACCCGCGCACGCTGCCGAGGAACCAGCGCACCCAGCATGTAGCGCAAGACCTCCTCCGCCAGGGCGGGAGACTCCGGCGGCCCATGGCGCGCCAGGTCCCCTCGAGAGAGCAAGCGCGCGCTGGAGGTGGCGGAAGGCGCCGGAGGGCCAGGTGGAGCAAAGAAAGCATTAGACCAAGTGATCATACAGGAGAAAAGAAGATACAGGGTGCGGAATAACACGCATCAAACCGGTGAATCATAAGTCAAGAAGATATGGAAGAACATGCCCCAAGTTGGATGTAAACTAGCTCCTTCTTACAAAACCAAGACAAATTCTATGCAATTCCGCCCTCGCAACGGACGGGCCACCTTTTTTTTGTGAGGTCCCGAAGGTGGAATAGACCATCTTTCAAAGTAGCAAGACACCCTTCTTCAACCAACAAGTAGAGTGTGTTGCACATGCATGACCTTTCGTTCTATTAGTGCTTCATTTCAATTCTTGTTAAATTGCCTCAGTCGCAGAAAGACCTCGGACTTCCCATCCTCGTCCAAGACTTCACCCCACCACAGAATGCAGAAGGCGCACCAACTGTGCACCCCACCGCGACCCAGGCCGTCGTTTCGCACGTGCACGTTCGAAGCGTGCGCGTTGAAAGCCTCTCGCGGAGGTCTCACGAGCTTTGGTCTGGGCCGAGGAGCTCAAGAGCGTTGTGAGGATCCGCTGCAAGACCTCTGGGGAGTCCTCGACACAGGCTCCGCGCGCTCTGCTGCGCCGCGGAGCGGCGAGAGAGCCGGTCGAAAAGGATCTCAGCGAAAGGGTTGAAACTCAGATGCGAAAAGATGAATGCAAGAGATGTGAAGAGGAGTTTCCAGAGGTGTCCAAATTACTGGTCGCCCCACGGAAGCAGGAAGTCTACACTCTGTTCCGATGGATGAAGAATGAACACCTATATAGACATGTTCCGATGGGGTTCTACAGATCTGATGTTCGTTTTCCGTCTCTTTCTAGGAGCCAAACAAAGCCCAACTCCACCCCCCCAACCTTCACGGTCAACAAGGTGGGTGGGTCGTCTATGGTTTTCATCTCGGCGAATCTGTTCCGTCCCTGCTGGTGTTGACCTGTTCATCCTCGGCATCGATCGATCAGACGGCTGGTCGACCCAGCAGCTCTCATGGACCCCGTAGGATTCGGCTCCAACCATTGATTGGCCTGGACCCCCAGTCGGGGTGGTAGACATGGACATCCCGAATCACCTCTTTTCGGGGCTATGAATGGACACCCGGCTCCTCCGTGGTGCTGGTGATGGTTCCAAAACCCAACCACCATTCTTGTGCTACCGATTTGTTCCACGTGCAGGTTCTACGAGGTCTGTGCACCGAATGTCCGGTTGTTTTTTCGTGCGGTGCGGAGTTCTCCGGGTAGGTCATTGACATTGGGTCATGTTCGGGTGAGACCGGGGATGAATGAGGTGAAACATCTTCATCCCACGCGCCTGCTTGAAGATGAAGGTAAGAAAGAGACGATAGCATTAAAAGAGGGGTCCACCAAAGATTTCTTATACTACAACATCCAGGTAAATGCAACCTGTTTAATTGGTCGAACGGAAGGCTATATGGGAACCCCACCTATATACGTGGACCCCAGCCCAGCTGCCAAAACAAAAAGGGTTCCATTATGTTCCATTAAGGTCGACTCCATACCCTTAGATCCCGACCCGGCCGGAGGTGAGGTGTTTTTTTCCGAAATCGGAGCCACTGATCCAACATCCAGCTCCATGAACTCTCCCTCCGGCATCCTCCGGCCTTGAACTTCTTCTTCTTGGGCTCCAAGGTCCGCGCCACGCTCTCCGCCACACTTCGATACCTCGACGGACCGTCTCACGGAGAGGTAACGCCGGAGAGGTCTCAGCTTGTAGGGTGGGGGGGGGTGTTTCTCTCAACTCACAGCGTGTGGTTCGTGAGCAAGGTGTTTGAGGTGGAGGGCAAATGGGAGGTGGAGTCTTCTTTTTTCCATGTGTTTCTCGTCTAGCGGAAGGGATGTCGTTGAGGTGTTCCAGTCTCCCGCGCGGCGTAAACACGTCCGTTTGGGACGGTCCTGAAGGACGCCGTGGATTCACACCGAGGGTGGCACAGGCGTTCGGCACCGTCGACGAACCAAGTGAGGAACCCTTGGAACGAACCTGGAACGCGTTCAGTTCGCGTTGGAGCCCAGGTCCTGCATTTGTTGCGTGAAGTGATGGACTCCGGAGCTGGACCTTGCACCATGTGTATGTGTCAGAACTCTGAGGGGTGAGGGTCAGTAGTTGAGATGCGCTGCTCAGTCTGCTTGAGGGTGGTCCGTTCGGAACGGCCAAAACGGTCTGTCTCGGTCCAATCTCGGTGTCTTGGAACTGCCCAGCCACGCTGCGACGGCCGTGCGAAGCAACTTCCATGCTTACGAAGGATCCACGCTTAAATGGGTTCTTGAATTGAGATCAAGGGATGTGTATTTGGCATTCGGGAGACCCCCGATCGCCCCTGGCTGGGCAGACTGGGCAGACTGCTCCGAACCTTCCAGTGGGTCGGCAGACTGGGCAGCTCGGTCTCCCTGTTTTAGGTCCCACACGTGGTGTTTCCCCACCACCCAGACACCGCCGGCCGCTTTCGCTCGGCCGAGCGTTGTGCTCCGCTCCAAGCGGCTGTCGAAGTGCCACGAGCTTCTCCAGCTCACCTGAGGGAGGCACCGTCGTTTCACATCGGTTCATCGCGTAAGTCACATGGGAATCACCTCTTCCTCAGGGCCCTTGGCTTCGTCCTAACCCCTTAGAGTGAGGTGAGCCACGGGTTTCGTGATTGAAGTCCAACTTGTGACCGAAGCCCGTGTGTCGTGTGCCCCCCAAATGAAGGGCGGCCGACACCTGTGGCCATGCGAATCGCATGGTCGCTACCATGACAGTTTCACTGTGAACAAATGGTGGTCTACCAGCAGTTCCACGTGGGGATGAATCATGCCTTCGGAAGTTGGAGGCACCCCGACTCTCCTTTATCTCCACGGCTCCTGGAGGGGTCGATTTTTCCTGGTAGCCATCTCTGCTCCTTTCCAAGACCTGACAGCTCTAGCCGTCCGGGAAAAAAAACAGAGGCGATCGGCTCGCTGACATTCACCAACACTTGAGGACCCTGGAAGTGGACCATCCAGGTGATGATTGGATACAGGAATCCATACCTGAACCATCCTGTCTTCGATCCCAGATAGTCGTGTTGGGTAGGAACAAGCGCCACAGCCAGATGGTCGGATGGTGGGTAGGAATCCGTGCCCAGGTCCCAGACGACTTGGCACCTACTCTGGTGCCTAGTCTGGTGCAAAACAAGACGATCTACCAGGACCATCCGATGGGTCGGTCCACCCGCGCTCTGCCCGCGCTCTGTTCCTACCCGACACGGTCCTGACGGAGGGTTGGATGGTCCAGGTATGGACTGGCCTTACAAGGACGTCTCTGATTATTGGAAGCATTGGAACCATCCAACAGTCCTATCCGGTTGTGATTTCTAGTCCTGGTTCTGGTCCTGACCCCAAACCTCACCCTCAATCTGTGGGTGTCCACTCCGCAGTCAACGGCCCCCCTAATGGTCAAATGGAGAGGCCTTCAAACCTCAAACACTCCACGAAAACTTGCATATTTACATCACCATGAGCCCTCTTCCACCCCGGCCTGATCGGTGATCCAACGAGATCCACCCCGGACCCTCCCGCGCGTTCCCGCGCGAGGACCGCGGAGAGCGCTTGGAGCCGAGGTTCTTTTGCTTCGCTCGCCCATCGTTCCATGGCAGCGCCGATCGCTCGACGGGGCGATCGGCGCGCGGCGGAGGTTCCCCAGATTTGGCCGCCCGGTGTCAAACCGGTGCCAAGCCAGGTTGAAAATAGGACATGGGCATGGGAAAAACAAACAAGGAAATGGACTGGAAAAGCCGGGAAAAACAATAGCCGTGGAAAAATATGGAAAAATGGACTGGAAAATCATGGAAAAACAGCTGCAATGGAAAAATACGGAAAAACTTGAATGGAAAAGCACGGAAAAACAAATGCAATGTGGAAAAAATTGGAAAAAATTACATAGAAATGGAACCGGAATGGAAAATCATGGAAAAACAATGAACTGCACTGGAAAATCAAGGAGAAAGGATCGGAGAAAACTGGAAAAATAGTAATAAACTAACAATAACTAACATATACATCTCTGAACGCTTTCCACGTGTTGGTCTGAAGTGGCCGTGGCCAGCTGTCAAGTATGACCTCTTGCACCTACGCCCCCACAAGGCAAAGATGCCTCTGTTGTTGAGGTTGTTTGTTGTATTGGAAGATACACTAGTTGAATCTTTTGCATTCGGGTCCTTCCCCCAAAAAACTGCTATATGGCCCCATGAAACACCTGCGTTCCTCCACATGCGTTCCTTTCACTCCGCCAATTCGGGTCCGGTGTCAGACCGACGGCGGAGTCTCGGACGGCGGATTCGCGCAGCGACCGATGGTCTCGATTTAAAAAACAACAGCTGTCTTTGAGCCGATCACTCTGGGCGAAGAAGCGGATCCAAGTTGCGAGAAACCGTGGCCCGGGCCGGATCAGCTACGATTTCGAAGCTGAATGAGCTCTGTTTTGGACCACCAACCCAAAGCATGGTCTTTTCCTGTCAAAACAGAGGTCATGTCTGGGTTCGAGGTTATACTACTTACTTCTTCCAAGGCTTCAAGGGCCTCCTTTCAATTCTCACCCAAAGGCCTACATTGCCAGAAACATCCCCCGCCCTCGCCAACCATGAAAAAAACATCTGCAATCATCTACAGTACATCATCCCTCTAGCGACCACAGCAAAAATATCCGAAAATGCCGTCACCCCATGTCCTGCTTCTGCTCAACAAAAACGGCCTCCACCGGTCATTCTCTCGACCCCGAAGATCCTCCTGCACAAACGAAAATTCAACGCCACAGCAGTGCACCTCGCGGACGTACTGGATGTGGTCGCTGACCACTCCGGTCATCACACTGAGCAAGGCCTCGGCCGTCGACCGAGTCTCGGTCCGTGTGTCCGGGCGACGACGACCGAGTCGGAGCAGAAAGCACTGGAAAAAGAGAAGCTGGAATGAACCTGGCTGACCTGTGACCCAAAACGCATCCAAAAAGAAGTTTGGTCCATTAAAACAGGTGCAATAAAACACCCATCGAAACACCCATGGAACCCTCTCAATTCATTCATCTGCTGGATGGAATTCATCTTTTGGCCCAACGCTCGCTGGCACTTCCGGCATGAACACAAAGAATCAGGAACTCTTAATTATCATCCCTAAATGAGAAAAGTTGCCCCTCATTGTCCATGTCGGGTGGCCCCAAGATCATACCCGCCAGGAGTTCTATGCCGTGATTTTGGCACAGGCCCCTCCAAGTTCGGCACCTCGACGGAATGGTGGACCCTGCCAGATCGTCTCACAACTTCAATGCCCTTCGCTTCGCCGGTTTTCATCCAGAATCCTCAAAACCGGTGCCCTCACGCTCACCTCCGGCTTGCGCGGGAAATCGAGCACGAGCGCGAAAAGCTCAAAAAGGGCCCACACCCAGGAGCTGTAGATGGTGAAGACCACGAAGATCAGTTTGGTCCAAGGCATTAAGTTCAACCTCACACCGCGACCGCGAAAGGTCCGAGCGCTCAAAAGAGACGGAAAGACTGAGAAATGTTCCGTCCTATTTGGGAGGCCCCGGCAGAAAACCTAGGACTTGGTGCCGTGGTCCACAAGGACTTTGTATGTATATGTCATTAGTTGTTCTAAGCTACACCTCCATCTTCATTGGACAATTTTTTGTGCACTTGACTTCGGAGGAGATTTCCGCGCACTCTAAATAAGAAAATCTGCGCACTCGAAAACAAAATTGTGCAATTCTGTGAGCATGGTCCTGTATTGAAGCGCACAAGAAGGCCCTGCTTGTCACTTGCGCCGGAGCCTGCACTTCCAGCTCAACTTCCGGATCTCCCATTTCATTTTGATACGGATCCGGTCTAGCAGTCTGTGACTTGCAGTTCTTGAACTCACTCTCTGACATATCCTGCTAACATGTCCCACCACAGTTTCACAAGCTTCGTAACTGTAGGCTTGTGGACAGGAAAAGATGTGTATTGGACGGGTAAAGACGGTGTATGGGGGAAAAG